GACCCATGAGGCGAATTTTTGCGAGTGAATTTGATCGACTTTTTCAACCAGATTGGCAGGGTTGCAAACCAACGGAGAAGGACGCTCTGCTGAGCTCAAGAACTTAACTCAGTTGCTTGATGAATTATGGCCACCGTTTGTATTGATCTTTTAGGGTCAAAAACGTCCAGTTGTTGAGCGTTTGATTGCGCGCATACCATGCTGTAGCTCAGTAAAAGCACTAAATATGAAAGGAAAAATTAGAGTGCTTTGGAAATCATCAAATTTTACACGGCTCCACCGTAATATTTACAAAACACACATTATATTTTCTTGTAATACATTTTTTTTCCATCAATTTAAATGAGAATAATCCACGCAGAGTGTACAAAAATTTCAAAATCATGAGTTGAAAAACGCTGACTCCGCGAGTTTAAATACTAGAGCCAAACACATCAGAGCGGAGCGGCGCGCGGCGCGGCGTGCTGCCAGCGCGACACGCGTACTGGCGCCTACAAACCTAACAGGATACTTCACGCATTGCGCAATGCGTGAAGTATCCCGTCAGGTTTGTAGGCGCCACTGCGCGTATCTTATATGCATCTACTTTGTGACCCACCTTCTGAGGTGAGTCGAGAATTTTGGAAATGGTCGTCAATGCTGCTACCGTGAAAACTAATTGTTGGAGGCCGCACCGTCGCTCGGAGGGAATTTCGTTTTGTTGTAACAGAAGTTGGCAGTAAGTTAAAAACCTAAACCGAATCCATTCGCAAAAATTTGCCTATATTGGCAGGTACGTTGAGTATGTTGTATGTAGTCGTCATTGCTGCTAGTATCAAAAACAAGTTAACAGAGGTTGGCAGTAAGTCGAAACTTAACCAAATCCACCCGTGGGAATTTGCGTCTTGATTCGAAGGGGGAATCACCTGTCACTTTGCAAGAATTGGACGTATTTCTATCAAACGGAACTATGTGCATTAAGACATGAGCTCTGAGACCCATAAGAATACATGCATAACAGGGCTCATGTCATATTGCGCATAGTTCCGTTTGACAGAAATACGTCCAATTACCAGTGGCGAGGCGTGAATGATCGATTATCGATGTTTCCCCGATTAAAGCTTTGCAAAAAAATCGATAATTATGGCATTCCTTGCGAACACCCTGTTTATCGATCATTTTCCACGTGTTCACATGGCAGATCAATCGATGTATTGCAGAGCTTGTCACGCCACTGGGTTGACTATCGATGTCGACGTCGGCATATTGATCGGCTGAAGAAAGCCCACAGATCGTTTTTGGACGACGGTGTTAATTTGCGGTGAGAAAAATCTAAATTTCTCGGCCAAGTGCGGCAACGCATCTTAAGGGTTGTGTACCTCGTTTTCCGAAGGCAATTATAAAAGTTGATCAATTAAAAAGTTAGGCCTTCCGTTGGCGGCGCCTCAGCCCGCGATTTAACTTAATTGGTGAGCACTCACAACCTTCCCGAGTGGCTTTCAAGGCCCTTCGCCTTCGTCCGCCACGAAAACATGTGTAATCGATCCGTTCGATATGGATTATTTTCGACTCTGGAGCATCGTCTCAAAGTATCTCGATCGATCCCTTCGATATCGATAATTTTCGACTCTTGAGCATCGTCACAAAGTATCTCGATCTTGGATTCATCGAATATCTCGATCATCTTCTCCAACCTTGTCTCATTGCGCCTTTTCACGCCACAGTGCGTCGCCCATCCTTCCAAATTTCTACTCATCGACCCTCTGCGGATGGGACTTTTAATCATGTGTTTCACTATACTAGATGCACGAGTTTCTCTAGGTCGTAGCATTTTAGAGGGTGCCTACGGGTGACTCACCACCCGGGGTGAGCTACATGTACTGAAAAAAGTCGGAGCATTCACGACTCCGATCAATCAACTAGTTTTTCCTCCTCATAATCCTAGCAGTTATCGCATCCTCTATTCGTATGTGCCTCCAAAAATTTTCTCATTTCTGAGAGCTTTGCACACTTGAATCCTTTAAAAAAGAGGACAAACTCAGGCAGTTTTTCACTTCAAGGAAAAGTTGAAGGAATTTTGGTAAACATTTGCCCTTTTTTTTGCTCAACTGAGGCAATAGACTAATGCCCTCAGAGGACTTTCTCTGACTTTTAAATTCAAAACACCTCGAAAGGTGTATTTGCAAATTTTACTTCTCACTATCTCGTAAATTTTGTATGAATTTAAGTTACACACGAGTATTGTTGGAGGTATTGCAACTACACCAAATATTCAGGGACTTTATCGTGCAGCATGTGTAGTTTTCCCTAATAACTCACGAGAAACCTTCATATTTGACCGGATACAACTAAACTAGCACGGCGACATTGCACAGTATCACAGCGAATTGAAGGCGTTTCGAGAGCTCCCCTCCAAAACGAGTTTAGTATAGAAAGGAGCCTGTCGCTCGAGTGTTAAGTTAGGCATTTTCGCCGACCATTTGACCCCCTTCCCCCTTGTAAGGCATGTCCAAGAGTTCCTTTCATTTTCCTTATTGAAATACGTAAAACAAGCCTGACCTCCCCCGCCCCCAATTTTTAAAAAAAATATATTAAAAAAGCCTGAAAAATAGCTGGAATTGATTATTTTTTGAGGAAATGTTATTTTTTAAGTGGAAAGGGGCTTGCGTACGATTGAGCTTGACCTTCTCCTGTTTGTTTCAACCTCGTAAAGCAAGCTTAGACCTCTTCCGGCTTAAGTAGCCCACGCAAGACCTGGGCTGTTCCGAAGGTGTCAAAGACACACAGAATCTTCAGTCCCCCCAACAATGCTGCATTGCCAGCGGGACCGACATAGTTGCCCCTACAAAGAAGTGTAATGTAGACTAGAAACTTAGATTGGATGCAACATTCTCTCCTCCGTATAGGGGCAAAATGCGCTGTGTCAGCAATCGTTTAAGGATTACGTTCGATAGCCGTAAAGTTGCCCAAACCTACGATATTTTTAATTAAGTAAGGTTACTTAATTTTTCTCAACGGTTAAAAAGAAGCACTTAAACGTTTTTTAAGCGCCTTATTACACACCCCGTTTACCTCCCTCTTTCCCGGAAACTAGGTTGATGAAATCCTAATGAGTAAAACTTGCAAACACCCCCTCCCCCTCCTGAGCATTTCCGCGCCAAGCTCGGGAGCCCGGTATTCAAATCAACTGCACTTGGCGCGGGGAATAAGAGGCTCAACAGACGGGTTTCGGTTTCGCAATGCGGCGCTCTCCCGTGCTAAGGAACAACGCCGTATGAGCCTCCAGGCGTTGCCAAATTTCCTCCCGCAAATCACTAATTTTCAGACAAACCTTTGAATTTTTTCCTGCAAATTTCTCAGATAATTTTGTTCGTCATTTGATCTAAAGTGATTGAAAATTTCAAGGAGAAATGTTTGTATTTTTCCTCTAAAATGGATATTTTATCTTAGAAAATTTAGCAACTCCCGAATGTCCATACGGCGTTGTTCCTTAGGACGGCGGCGGTGGTGTCCGCGGAGCCCTTGGCGGTAGGCCGGAGCTCAAACAATGAGAGCCCGCCGCTCGACTACCCATAACTTGTGTGCACAGAAAGGAAGGAAAACAAATAAGAGGCTAAGCGAGTACTCAGCGTTATCCTTTGACGCGAAAAAATTCCCTAGAAAGGGAAGCTTCCGTCAATGAAAGTGGGCTCAATGTGTATGTATCTCGTCAGCTTCTGTTGCCTATTGGACTCGTAAATTCGCGAATCTTCGTCAGAAATGTCAACCCGTAGTGCATGTCACTCCATAACGTATGTACCTTCACATTGCTGCGGCGCGGCGATAAATGTGGGCAATTTTACAGGGTTGCAAGGGTTAGGAAAATCCGAACCCTAGTCGAAAAAAGTTGGGGTATTAGGATTTTCAGGGAATTTTTGCCGTGTCTACCTCGGGAATTGTTTGACCCTGAGTGTCCTGACGCTGTTGAACTACCAAACAAGGCAAAACCGTACGTTTCTACGGGATCTTATCGTTTTATTTATGAGCGGGGAGTTTGAATTGATGCGTTGGAAAACGTTAATATCTTTGTTAGGAGTTACTTTCTGCAATTTTCGCTGTGCAATTTGTGTTCTATACGTGAACTTTTGATAAGAGAATATTTATTGGATCGCATTTAGCAAAAAGGAACCAGCGCGATGACAGTGTTGTAAACATGTTGCTTCTTCATAATTATCTATAGTCTCCCGGAATAGCAAATAGTTTTGATTCCCTACCAAAAAATTGGACATTTTGAAGGATAGTATATACATTTTGATACTGTACACATATTGAGTACACTGGGGGAAAAAAAACACATTGGATCTAGAGACCAGACTCTTAAAAACATCGACAAGAAAAATAATACTCTTGATTCAATCAGATTTAAGCTTAAATCAAGAACCAAAGCCTCTTAATTTCAGCGGATTTTCTTTTGATTTAAGCTTAAATCTGATTGTATCAAGAGTCCTTTTTCTTGTCAATGTTTCCAAGAGTCTGGACTCTAGACCCAATGTGATTTTTTTCCAGTGTAAAAAAAAGGAGAAGTTGCGCGATCTTGGAAACACCGTATAAGCGCTGGCTCCTTTTAGCTAAATGCGATCCTTTTAAAATGCTTGAAGTGACACGTTGTCTAGAGATCCATCGGATATCTTTGCTGGCAATAGATGAATATCGACGGTGCAAGTCGGCAATCACATAACTCGGTTTGTGACGTCGCAGACTTCCTGTCATACTTTATTTTTAAAATGGAAAACTACTCAACGGCAATTCTTTAAAACTGTCATGATTTTTCTTCTCAATGCGAAGAAAATTCTGCAAAAACTTCAAGAAATAATGTCAATTTGCTCTCCTTTAAAAAAATGACGTAGAGGCGGAGATTTTCAGACACCGCAAACGAGTTATGTGATTGCCGACTTTCACCGTCGATATCCCTCTTCTCCGTTAAAATCATGGCTAATAATTGTATTGGTCTCAGTAAAAGGTTTGTGGTTGTATGAGATTACCTGGTTCCTGATTGGTCTCCTTGGCAACGCCGATGACGCCGCCGTTGTGCTCGTAGTGTTTGGGCGCCTGCTGTTTGGCGAACGCCGCTTCCGCCTCGATCTCCGCCCGCTTCTCTTGCAGGATTTTGATCTTCTGAATCATCTCCCGGATTTCATACCTGCAAAAATTATTCACAATCAGTCCCTAGATTCCGATACTCACTTTCTTCACATGGACGTGTTTCTGTTAAACAGAAGTAAGCGCCAAATTGAGTTCCTTTTGAGGATTTTAGAATCCCGGAGAGCGCGTTCTGTCAAATGGAACCAAGCGCCACGGAAAAACATTGTGAATATAGGACGGAACGAGCATCACGTTCCGCAACACCCGCCAATCCAAGCCCCCCTCTCCCTTCCTCCCCCGATGGTGCTTAGTTCCGTTTGATACAAATACGCCCACATCTTAGTTCATCGACGTTCAACATTTAGGCATGAGAAGTTTCAAAACATCTACTCCTATGGATCTGTTCAGATGGGGAGGGTCCATGGGGGAAGGGGAGGAACAAATCATTTTTTGAGTTAGTTAAGAATTAGGAACATAACAAATCACATAGGAAATAGTGTCAGTTATTGCGCTTGTCACCCAATCTTGTTTTGATACCTTCCTCAGAAAGTTCCTCAGTACTTTTAAGTAGTTTTGTACTTTGAAAAAGTACAACATACGGAAGATGAGATTTCATTATATTGAGAAACTTTAAGGTTGGTGTAAATCTACCTTAAAGTTAAACTACTTGGTGATTACCATTTTACGGTAAATACCACCATAGAGTCTGGTGTTTATTACGATACTCGGATCATTGCGTGAGCGTATGGTAAAATCTACCGTATTCTTTTTCAGTGCCTAACTGGAGGAGCTGCTCGTGGAACGAAGGACTATGAATAGGGCCCAGGGAGTGGGTTGACATCTCAGCTCGGGAGTCAAGAACGGGAAAGAGCGTAAGGATTAGCGGTGGAATTTGTGGTCGGCCGGGAGTTGGGGGCCGCGTGGAAAGGTGGACAAGCGTAGTAGAGGGCCAAGGGGTAGTAGAGGGCCAAGGGGTAGTTGAGGGCCAAGGGTTGCGGGAAATGAGTGGTGGGAGGGGCGACCGCGCCTCGCGACCCGGAACAGAGCTTCGGGCCGAGCGAGGCACCCACCCCGGCTCGGCCCGCTCGGGCGTCCAGCGCGCCACATTCAATTTAGGAACCCGGATTATCCGCCCCATTAAAAGGTCGGACCCGGGGCCGGGGCCCCCGAAGCGGACGACATCTCCCGCTTTGCCTTCGGCGTCATCCTCGGTCTTCGCAATCGCAGGAGATGAACCCAAAATGCCCGCCCATTTATTTCCGCTCAACCTTCGTCGACCCTGAGGAAGCGTTAAGGAAGCGTTAAATCCCCCGTTTCCCCGGCCTCGGGAGAAAGCACGTATGGACCTATCCAACGCATCCCCGAATTTCTTTACATGGTGTCCAGGATCGGAAAAACCGGGAATTATCAGGGAATAAACAATTTCAGGGAAAAGCAGGGCTGAATCAGGGAATCTGTTCTTGAAACCGAAAATCTCCTCTTCTACCGCTTGGAAACGATTTTAAGGTTTATGTCATTGTACCTGAGTCGTCATCATTGCGATGCTTATTATTATTATTATTACAGATGAATCCTCAACGTTTACACCAAACGCTCACACCGCAATCACACGCTGAATGTGGGAGCTGAATGTGGCTTTGAATTTGTCTGAACTATTCGAATAGATTTAATACACATCCGGATGAAAATAAGTCGAATTTGCTAAATTTCAGCCGTTGGGCGATGACTGTTGACTTCCACATTCAGGTGCTAAATTCAGCGTCTGATTGCGGCATCAGGGACCTCGGAAATTCGATTTGACCTTGAGGTGCGTTACTAAACCCTCCAGTCTGCTCTCCGGGAGATCGTCTATCCGACAGCTCGGAGAATTGGACGTATTTCTATCAAACGGAACTATGTGACATGAGCCCTGAGACCCGTAAGAATACATGCATAACAGGGCTCACGCCATAACGCACATAGTTCCGTTTGACAGAAATACGTCCAATTGTGGTGACTGATGTCAGCTATTCGCGTTGTCGTCGTTGTCCGCGGGATTTGTTTACATTTGATTTCGAATACTTGAAGTCGACAAAATCTTGCCTATTTCTCAATTTTCAAAACTTTCACTGCGATAAGCGAGCAGCAGGCCCAAAATCTGATCATGTTGCCTGAGAAAAAGACCAGAAAAAGGCGCCGGAGGAATATGGCTAACCTCATTTCTACGTCACTCTCCGGTAGTTTCTGACCTTGAGAGATCCTGGAGTTGAAAGCTGTCAGAGACTGACATAGTGTGACGTAGTCCAACAACGCTTGTTCACGTCTCCGGGTAACTCCGGAGAGCTCTCCGGTGACTTTAACAACGCACCTGTAGAGTCGATGAACTTAGTAAATATTTCATTAGAACCAAAGAAAATCGGAAAAGTTTACTTTGACGACGCATGAATGCCTCTTTTTTAATGAGAGGTTTTCGCTGAGACCTTTTTGGCATTTTTATTCTTAACTTTTTCTACGCGCAATTTTGATTATGTTTCCAGTCCTCTATTTGGACTATTTCTATCAAACGGAACTACGTGCATTAAGACATGAGCCCTGAGACCCATAAGAATATGTGCATAACAGAGCTCACGTCATAATGCACATAGTTCCGTTTGATAGAAATACGTCCATTTCTTACCCTACACGGAAAAAAATGAGTTAGGGTTGAGGACTAGTTTCTGCCCTTCAACACTACCGCGCGGTACCTGATTTCGCAGTCGTAAGCCAAGGTAGTGCTGAAGCCTACCTCGCGCTTGCGTTCCACGCTAGATGACCTGTGACGTTCAGAAACAGATCTGGCAGCGCGTAGGCACAGAAACAGAAGGCTCCAAGGATAGATCCGGCAGGGCTGAAGCCTACTTGATGCAAAGTTGCCAAAATGTGCGAAAAAATCTGATTACACCCGTAGAGCATAATTTTATCGCGCACAATATAGTTTTTTCAATTATTTTTATTTTTTTTTTAATTTTTCATTTTTTTTTAATTTTTTATTTTTTTTAATTTTTTATTTTTTTAAATTTTTCTTGCAGTTTATTTGGCTTTTCTTCCTATTTTTTTTTTTGTTGCTCAGGAAGCCATAGCTAGCTATAGACACGAGTTTTTACAAAGAAATTATTTGATTGTCAACGGGCATCAGGGGGACTTTTAGAACATTCATGCTCCATAGCTCCGGCTTTTAAATTTTCAGAGATTAATGTCGAGTAGAATCTGTTTCTGCAGATCCACTCGTCAGTTCGGTGAAAATTTGTCGCCACCACCGAGATTCGAACCCGGGATCTATGGGTCTAGAGTCAGACGCGCTAACCACTAGGCCAACCTGGCCAGCTTGCTTATGTTAAGGAAAATCTGAGTTTTTGGGTGTTGATTCTTTCCTCATAGTATTAAACTATTACTTTAAATAAAGCGCCGGACTGGGCAACGCGACGCGGGGCAGCCATGTTTTCTTTCCTCGTCCGAGGCGAATACGATGACGTAGTCGAGCAGTCCACGGCGCATACGCATCCCGGACATTCTAGCCTTCCGCAAGAGAAATTCTACTTGTGGAAACAAGCTTGCCGTGTGTGTTGCAGTCAAGCGGCGGGTAGGCGCTACGAACAGCGAGAGGTAGCGTTGACGAATACATGTTCTGTTCCTCAGGACTACCGACCCTAAAACTACCCATAGGTAGTGCCAAACCCTACCCTGATTTTTTTCCGTGTACCTATCGCGGGCCATCCTAACTGCTTATAAATTACTGATTCCGATATTTATATGTTGCAGGTAAGGCGTAATCCATTCAATTAATGAGTAATGAAGCCGTCACGTATTTCTGCCAAACGGAACTATGTGCATGAAGACATGAGCCCTGAGACCCGTAAGAATATGTCCATAACAGGGCTCACGTCATAATGCACATGGCTCCGTTTGATAGAAATACGTCCAAATAGCCCTTGACTTTTGAATTGAGGACCCTTGACTTGTTTTACGCATTCAAGTCGGTAAGTATAATTCGATACTTATACTACTTTTATTATGTCGAAAAATGTACTGTACGGTTTTTATTTCGGTTTAGAAAAATGTTCCTTTTTATGATGATATGTTGAGAATTTCCGTGAACCTCCCGCACAGATCTCAGCTCTTATTACGGAAGGTACTCAGAACAATGGTTGATTTTGTTGAACAAAAATTGACTAAGAAATCGTGCGTTTTAGTGTATTATCTTCGGAAAATACATTATATGGCTTTCTCTCATGATGTCAGACCCAGACCTGAGACTTTGTGAGGAGCACCGATCACGAGTCGTAGATCACAAAAATATATGCCATTCAATGGTTTATTATTTTTTTTTTTTTTTTCATGTTTTCTCGAAAATGACTTTTGGCAGCTACGACTTTCTTCCAATAATCCGTTCGAGTACGTACGCCGCATAGGCGGATCCACACATTTTGAAAAAGGGGAGGGTGCGGAGAGCTTCCCTAGAAAATTTTCGAGATCTCTAAGCATCTAATACGCAGTTTGAGTCAATTTTTTCATGAATAAGTACCGAATATAAGTCCGCTCTTCATGTACCTCCGTTTCTTCCTTGCTGTTTTTATCTTCTTTTCCGCTTCTTTCTTTCCTTTTTCTTACTCCTTTTTTCGGGCAAAGGAAGGAGGGGGCACGCCCCCCCTAAATCCGCCCATGGTGCACCGTAAGCAAAGTTGAAATTTTGCAATGGACTAAGGCCCTTGCGCCAAAATCGATTCAATCACACAGGATACTCGTAAGAAGTGAGAATAGGCTCTGAAACTGCCTCACGAGCGTCTGAAGAGTGCGAATAAAAGCAAAAAATGTAAGCGAGAGGGTGGAAGTCAATTATCATTTTCTCTCGGGCACTTTTCGGGGATGCAGCTACGAGCTACGTGCGAGGCCTAATCAAGATCCGGGCGACCTCGATTGAATTTCAGTGCTTACATCGACCGGAGCGAGAGAAACTCGACTCGGTAAAAAGTTACGAGGTTCGTGCTCGGCGCTGGGCGAGTGTCGTCTAAGTTGATATCCCCGCAGCTGGATCCGATTGCA